TTATTTTTATTATTAAGAATTAACCACACCCACAACTTTTACCCACACCCACACCCACACCCACGACCCACGACTTGTACCCACTACCCACGACCCACGACCATTAGTCAAACTCATGAAAAAATGGCGTTTAGTTAAGAAAAAAATGCGCTGCAGTTGTTCTTACATAATTATTTGAAGTCTTCTGTGATCTATCACCGAACAGACGTACGGCAACATGGAATCTATTTGGTTTTTTTTTTTCATTCATTTTTTTTTTTTTTAAGATAAAGAACCAGAATATTATGAGCGTCGGTTCTCTCACAGGTGGGCCAAGCTCCAGCTGTAAGATGATAATAACAGTCATGGCGGAAATATAAGAGTTTGTATGGGAATATTTACGATCGCTCTAAAGAATAAAAAATTGCGTCAAATTCTCAATAAAATTACCTCGCCTTACTTCCACAGTGTATCGCTTGTTATCTGACCGCTTACTTTGATGAAAAGGACCCATTTTAGCGAGTAGTGTCCATTTCGAGGTTTTCAACGTACACAAGAAAAGGCGCAGAATTATCTGTTTGGTTAGGAAAACCACAAAGCGCAAACTGTAAATGGTTTAAAACCAGGGAAAACATTTGATTGCGTAGTCTTATCTTCTTGGTGAGGGTAATCCTTTAATAGAAGAACTGTTGTCGGTAGTACAAACTGACGCTTCGACACCCTGACCGGAAGTCATCATCAGAGTCGAATAATGACTTCCGCTCAGGTTATCGAAATGTCAGTCACCACCACTGTCAACAGTCCCTCTCAGCACTACACTTACTTACAAAATCAGAATATGCCATCACAAATCATTAAATTGGCGAAATCAAAACATCAATAAGTAGGAAATATGACTACGTATTCATAAGATGGAAACGGTGGCGTGTGATGAACCTGAAAATGAAAATATCAAGCTAATGAAGACGCACATGTACAGACCGTAATCGAAGGTCCTTAAATAATTCTTCGACCACCAGGCTTCCTATTGAATCACAGAGCTGCACTGCTTTTAGGTTAATGACTCTTCCGGTTAAGTAAATTCTTTGTAGATGTTTAACTCTTCCTTGGTAGATTGCGATTTTTTTTTCTGGTGTTTTTGTTGTTGTTTTTTTCTCTCTATTAACAAGCTTTTAAACCCAACACCAGACTACAAGCTCCTGTCTCTCAGCTTAGGTAGTCAGTTAGAATTAAATGAGTACTGTACAGATTAATGTTTTTCGCGACGGTCTCATTTGGGAAATGGGGCTTTTAGTATTGTGACGGAATACAGTCCGCCTTATTAATGAACATAACTACCTACGGTAATTAAAGAAACCCTGTTCCCATTAAGAATATTGAAGAGAATGTGTTTACAAAATTCCCCAAGTGAGTGGCTCAATCTCCCCACACGTCTTTTCCTTCTCAAGACTTTCAGGGTTTCAACTTATGTTATGAATGCAGTGCTTTTTATTGAAATATTGTTATTTATTCCCTCAGGAAACGGTGAAGGAGATGTCATGTATGCCGAAGTAATTCTTCAGCCACATTTGAAGGCTTTTCCAAAGGTATTTTTAGCAAGGAACTTCTTCTAAATGCAATGGTTTCATTTCGGACCTGTCCCGGAGATGCGTAAATACATCATTCCCTATTGCTGTAATTCCTGGGCAGTGGTTTGAAAACTCACAATCTGATTGGCTGTACAGGCGTTTCGTACCAGTGTTACCAGGCCTTCCTGGTCCGCAAGTCGTTCTCGATCTCTCTGAAATGAAGAAAGATATATACAGTCGAACCTGTACTGAGCAGCACCGTATTATGCGGTCACCTCTGTGGTCCTTTTTACAGTTGTGGGCTTGGTGGCCAAGCCTTTGAACAGGAGTGAGGCTAAGGGTTACCTTGTTATGATACAGATTTTGCTGCTTTTCAAATGAAAATTTCTTTGTTATCATATTTTTTTTTTATTGCACACACATATACAATTTACATTTCATTGGCTAATACAAAAAAAAACGTGATACAACTAAGAAGAAAAAAAACAATACAGTACAATACAGAATAAAGGAATAAAAGAAAGGAAAAAACAAGTAAAACGAGTAAAAAATTACAGAATATCAGTCAAAAGGCACCTACGAGTTACTTACAATCTACATTATTACAGTAGAGCTTACGTATAGCTATAGATATATCGCTTCGAGTTTTTACCTCCTTTTTAAATTATTGATTTTTCGAAGGGGAGAAGCAAAATTAGTGAAGAGCACATTTCTCTATTTGCCATTGCATCAACATTTTATTTGGAATTCTTTCGAGAGCGGTTTTTTCTCAAAGCACTTACAACTGTGGACATACTGTTTCAAAAGAATAACAAATAAGTGTAGTCTGCGTCTTGGGTATTCTGATAATTGATGAAAGTCGGGTATTTCATTAAAGGTAATTTGCTCATTAGAAAGTTCAATTTCGGTCTCGTTTACGCGGTTAAACCACCTTAACGCTTCATAATAAAAATATTTTTCTCGGAGCAATCCAGAAAAGTATGCTCTACTGAATCTGAACTAGGGCAAAAGGTACAAGTTGAACCATCCGTTAATCGAAATTCG